ACAGTTACCGGCCTACGATCCTGCTATTTGCAGCTCGCAGAAAAGACTTCGCTCCATCATGGGATGTGAATATGGCACCTAACCACCAGCTAAAAGCCGTAGACACGCCCCTCTGTTCTCAGTTCCAGCGCCCGGCCCATGAAGGACCTACTGCCATGTAACTGCTCTACCATTGTCCTACTCCAGTATTACTGAAAAGTAGCCACCTCTGCATTCTTATCAATCTGTTCACTATTTAATCACATCATGCCTGCTGCCCTGGATATTTCGTTGTGAAAATTTAGTCTTTACTTCATATGATTAGTGCCGCATACGCGTTGAATGTATAACGGACGGTATAAGCTAAGCTAAAATTATCTAATTATCTATTTCAGTTAATGTTGCAGATTGCGTTGTTCCTTAATCTTCGAATTGGATCTGGCTTAATATTTTTTGCAGACTGTTATAGCAATTTTATAAAAGTAAGCTTGAACTTTCGATTATGTCAAATAGAATTTCAAAGCATCTACAAAGCGAAAGTATGTCTCGATGTCCATCAAACAAAAAGTGGAATTGCAGCAAAAAATGGATAAAGGCACATCCTTTGTTTCTCTAACCATTCCGAAATCTGTTTATCAATTTCACGCTGCTCTGCGTGGGTGTGGGGAAAGTCGTGCCGAGCAATGAATTAGAAATTGATCTGTCAGCACTATCCTTATCTTCAGGGCAGATGTTTTTATTTTATTTGGCTTATAATTCCTTACTAAATGTAGTACAGTCAAAAGTCGTTAATCCGGACTCGTCGGGACTTCGGCGATTCCGGATTATAGATCATCAGTTTAAATCTCGTAAGATGGCATGCAGATTCTAAAATTAAAAATATGAAACCGTAATTTATGAAATAAAGAACAATTATGATCTAAAGGGTATCAAAATTTGCAAAACGGAAAAGCTTAATATTTATTTGTTTACTTTATTAAACATTTCTTTCAATGTAAGTTGTTTTAAGTTTTTGCTTCGTTTCATGTGATAATACTTTCTCTTTAATTCTATTAAACAGACATAATTTCTTGTTCAGTTACAAAGTTCCGCTGTTCAAGTCCTATAATTGCTGTGTCAAGAACACCAACTAATTTGTCAATCGAAATTTTTTCGTTTTCAACAACCTCTCTGTTACTTTTCTTCGCTATCGGAAGCGAAATTATAATGATGAGGAACTTGTTTAAATCATATCAAAGACGGAGCATATCGAGATGAAATACTACATTTGGTAAGGAATTATAAGCGAATAAAATAAAAATATCATCCCCTGCGCAAGATAAGGGATAGTGCTGACAAATCAACTTCCAATTCATTACGCGCGGCGTTTCCCCCACCCCACACCGCCACAGAGCAGCGTGAAATTGATAAACAGATTTCGGATTTCAAAACATACTTTCGCTTTAGATCCTTTACATGTTAGCAAATATATATCGGAAATTCTATTTGATATGATCGAAAGTTTAAGCTTACTTTTATAAAATTGCTCTTACAGTCTGCAAAAAATAATAAGCCGGATCCAATTTGAAAATTAAGGAACAACGCAATCATCAACATTAACTGAAATAGATAATTTTAGCTTATACGTCCATTATACATAAAACGCGCACGCGAAAATGTATTCTGCACTTGCGCACTGCTGCTAGGCGGGGGGAACGCCGCGCGTAATGAATTGGAAGTTGATTTGTCAGCACTATCCTTATCTTGCGCAGATGTTTTTATTTGGCTTATAATTCCTTACCAAATGTAGTATTTCATCTCGATATGCTCCGTCTTTGATATGATTTAAAACAAGTTCCTCATCATTATAATTCGCTTCCGATAGCGAAGAAGAGTAACAGAGGTTGTTGAAAACGAAAAAATTTCGATTGACAAATTAGTCGGTGTTCTTGACACAGCAATTATAGGACTTGAACAGCGGAACTTTGTAACTGAACAAGAAATTATGTCTGTTTAATAGAATTAAAGAGAAAGTATTATCACATGAAACGAAGCAAAACTTAAAACAACTTACATTGAAAGAAATGTTTAATAAAGTAAACAAATAAATATTAAGCTTTTTCTTTTTGCAAATTTTGATACCCTTTAGATCATAATTGTACTTTATTTCATAAATTACGGTTTCATATTTTTAATTTTAGAATTTCTGCATGCCATCTTACGAGATTTAAACTGATGATCTATAATCCGGAATCGCCGAAGTCCCGACGAGTCCGGATTAACGACTTTTGACTGTACTACATTTAGTAATGTACTCATATGCGCAGTCGTAAAAGGTCTTACGCGCACACGTAAACGCCTATGCGCATGTGTCAACGCGGCGCATGCGCAGAAAGTTTTTAGTTTTGAGGTCCGGATTATAGATCATTCCGAATTATGGGTGTCCGAATTAACGACTTTTGACTGTATTTCATCTCAATGTACTCGGTCTTTGATATGATTTAAATCAAATTCCTCGTCATTGTAATTCGTTTTCGATAGTAACACAGAGGTTATTGAAAACGAAAAAATTTCGATTGACAAATTAGTCGGTATTCTCGACACAGCAATTATAGGACTTGAGTTGTGGAACTTTGTAACTCAACAAGAAATTATGTCTGTTATCTGACCTCAAAGCTACAAACTTTCTGTGAATGCGTAACCACATGATGCGTGTACGCATGCGCATAATACCTTTATGCATGTGCATATGCATTTACGTATGCACATAATACGTTTACGCATGCGCGTTTAATGTATGATGGACAGTATAAGCTAAGCTAAAATTATCTATTTCAGTTAATGTTGCAGATTGCGTTGTTCTTTAATCTTCGAATTGGATCCGGCTTATTATTTTTTGCAGACTGTTAGAGCAATTTTATAAAAGTAAGCTTGAACTTTCGATTATGTCAAATAGAATTTCAAAGCATCTACAAAGCGAAAGTATGTCTCGATGTCCATCAAACAAAAAGTGGAACTGCAGCAAAAAATGGATAAAGGCACATCCTTTGTTTCTCTAACCATTCCGAAATTTCAATTTCTGTTTATCAATTTCACGCTGCTCTGCGTGGGTGTGGGGAAAGTCGTGGCGAGCAATGAATTAGAAATTGATCTGTCAGCACTGTCCTTATCTTCAGGGCAGATGTTTTTATTTTATTTGGCTTATAATTCCTTAGTAAATGTAGTATTTCATCTCAATGTACTCGGTCTTTGATATGATTTAAATCAAATTCCTCGTCATTGTAATTCGCTTTCGATAGTAACACAGAGGTTATTGAAAACGAAAAAAATTTCGATTGACAAATTAGTCGGTATTCTCGACACAGCAATTATAGGACTTGAGTTGCGGAACTTTGTAACTCAACAAGAAATTATGTCTGTTATCTGACCTCAAAGCTACAAACTTTCTGCGAATGCGTAACCAGATGATGCGTGTACGCATGCGCATAATACCTTTATGCATGTGCATATGCATTTACGTATGCACATAATACGTTTACGCATGCGCGTTTAATGTATGATGGACAGTATAAGCTAAGCTAAAATTATCTATTTCAGTTAATGTTGCAGATTGCGTTGTTCTTTAATCTTCGAATTGGATCCGGCTTATTATTTTTTGCAGACTGTTAGAGCAATTTTATAAAAGTAAGCTTGAATTTTTGATTATGTCAAAAAGAATTTCCGAATCTGGAGCTGCCAAAGGATCTACAGAGCGAAAGCATGTTTCGATGTCCATCAAACAAAAAGTGGAATTGCTGCAAAAAATGCATAAAGGCATATCCCTTGTTTCTCTAACCATTCCGAAATCTGTTTATCGATTTCACGCTGCTCTGCACGGAAGGGGGGTGGACATCGCAGCATGCAATGAACTGGAAGTTGATCTGTCAGCACTATCCTTATCTTCAGGGCAGATGTTTTTATTTTATTCAGCTTATAATTCCTTACTAAATGTAATATTTCATTTTGATGCACACCATCTTTGATATGATTTAAATCTAATTCGTCATTATAAATATCATGAATACACATCAAATAGTTTTCTGGTTGCAATTTTCTAATTTTGAGAATGCGAAATGTATGCTTTACGCATGCGCACGTTGAAGAAATGTTTAAAAAAGTAAACAAATAAATATTAAGCTTTTTTTTGTAAATTTTGATACCCTTTAGATCATAATTGCTCTTTATTTCATAAATTATGGTTTCATATTTTTAATTTTATAATTTCTGCATGCCATCTTACCAGATTTAAACTGATGATCTATAATCCGGAATCACCGAAGTCCCGACGAGTCCGGATTAAAGACTTTTGACTGTATGTATATCGGCGGAAACTTTAACGAACGTCACAAAAGAAAATATCGCAGAAGGAAGCATTATTTATACTGACTGCTGGAAATCATACAAGTCGGATGAACTACAAAATGACGGTTTTGAGCATTTTACTGTCAATCACAACTACAATTTTGTGGACCCCGAAAGTGAAGTGTCATAGACAAACAGTGGGTGTGGGGTGGTGCTAAATGGCATAATAAAAGTCGCACTGCTCGACAGCATTTTGATTATTATTTGTCCAAGTTTATGTACAGACACTTGCACAAAAAAATCGAAATATTCTCTGCTGCATTGGAAGACAAAAAAATTTATATCGCCCGTTTAATTTCAGTTATGTTTAGTCTTTTGTTTATAAATTATATTATAAAAAATGTGTTTACATGTAATTAAACTTTCATCTAAACTAAAACATTAATCTTAGATAGTTATTTACTATTTTGTTTCCTTTCTTGCGTTAAGGTTACCATAATTATTTTTGGCAGCATTGGCATCAACAGTAGATTGGCAATTTTTCACGGCCCTTATAACAGAATTGTACCAAAAAATGTAATTATGATCATAGCTAAAAGAAATTTTATAAATTCTTGTCTAGTTTTAACAATTTTTAATCATTAACTGATAAAGACAATTTTTATTTTTAAATTATAATTTACATAGCTTATAAAATATACCATAATGTTTTGGGTTCTTAAAAATTCGCTGGTACAGAAAAGTAGCTTTTAGCCATTCCACAGCTATGGAAACATCAGTTATGGTCCCAAGAACAATTTCAGCATTCAAATGTTCAGCAATATGTTTATGCAAGCTGCAAAAGCATTGAAGTTCATTTAATTTATATATTCTATATGTAAAAATGTATAATGAGAAAGAAATGACAAAAAAATTATTATTTCAGAAAATTTAAATTTGAACCACAACTGACAGTCTTAAATTTAAATAAAGTGTGTTTTTAAATATGCATATATATACTCTGTCACAAAAAAAAAAAAAAAAATATATGCACCCAGAACAATCGAGCCAGCAGGAATGCAGTCTGGTAAGAGATATGCAAATGATTTAAATTTTGACGCCAGTAAGTGGGCTATGCACGTATGAAATATGCAGTTGGGAGAGTTTAAAAGCATGATTACTCATGCCGGACTATTCAACCAAATCTGTTGACTTATATGGAAGGTATTGTGACTAGAGATGCCTCTGAGACTTAATTGGCGGCAGTACAAACAGTTGTCAAACTTTGAGAAGGGGCGTATAGTAGGCTTAAGAGAAGAAGATTGGTTGAACAGGTGTATTGGCTGCCACCTCGGTTGAAGTAATATAGTAGTTGTTCGGTGTTGACGACGTTGGATCGCGGAAGGGATAGTCTACCGTCAAGGAAGATCAGGGCATCCCAGGAATGCAAATGAGTGTGAGGATCACGCAATCATAAGATGGCTATTTCCGCACCAACAACATCGCTAGCATTGATTTGATGCTATTTACCACCTTCCTGGCATCCAGTGATATCAAGGAAAACCATTTGGAGATGACTGGTTGACAATGGCATACAGTGATGATGTTCATTAAGGTACTTACCACTGACCATCACAGGCAGTGTCGACTAGGAATTTTGCTGAACTCAGGCAAGCTGCAGTGTGACTGACTAGAGGTGTGTGATCTTCAGCAATGAATCTTGATTCCGTCTCAGTGCTGATGACCAATGCACACATGCATGAAAGCGATCAGGCCAGTGGCCCAATCTGGCATTTGTTGTCAAGTGGCATACAGCGATTACATAAAGTTTGACAGTGTGGAGAGTGATTTGTTAGGAAACATAATTACTCTAGTCATTCTTCAAGACACTGTTGATGTCTCCCAGTTATGTGTACGATATTTCATGTACTGCCTATACTAGAGATCAAGTCACCCAATTTATCAGCAAGACAACACTCGTCCATATACTGCACGACTCTCCCAACAATGTCTTCAAGAATATGATGTACTCTCATGGCCTGCCAGGTCAAAAAACCTCTTGCCAAAAGAGCATGTTTAGGGCATGCTTGGAAGGCAACTGCAGCCATCCTGGAATACTGATGAATTAACTGCCCAGTTGCTAAGATTATGGCATGATCATCCACAGGGGGTTACACGTGACCTGCTTGATTTGATGCCACACTGTGTTCAGCTTGTATAGCTGCAGGAGGTGGTTATACTGATTTGAAAAATTTTCATGCTATAATTTCTTAATAAAATGATTTTTTGCTCTGACTTTGTAACCATTTGTTTACCTCCTCATACATAACATACATTGTTTTGATTCAAAATCAGAATTTGTTTTATACCCAATTTATTTCACTTTATGCACACATACAGATAAATGCGATTATTTACATGTTTAGTATAATGAATGTTTAGTATCAATTGATCTGTACATCTTAATCATGAAAAACATCCAGTATCTCAGTAACGTAACTTAACTGCTTAGAATGTGATTGAATGATCTGTGCATCTTAATGATGAAAAACATTCAGTATCTCAGTAACGTAACTTAACTGCTGCTTACTTAACTTAACTGCTCAGCAGGTGATAAAATGATCGGTCATCTTAATGATGAAAAACATTCAGCATTTCCATATCTTAACTGCTGCTTACTTTAACTTAACTGCATAGAACGGGAATTTTCTGATCCTTACATTAAAAAACGAAACTGGTTGCCAGATTCATACATCAAACAAAATTCAAAACAAACTTTTAAATAATAAGAAACGGGGAATGCTAAACTTAATAGGAGTCACAACACCCTCCCCCCCTTTGCATTGCAGGCATGTTTTCCTTAAAGCAAGGCAAAATGAAGTAATGAAAATGTATAAATATATAATAGACATAAATTTCAACACATGACATGAAACTGAACTAAGAACTATAAGCGTGTGAATATAACATCAAAGAACAATAAACACACATTGACATTACAATTATCTCAGTCTAGGAAAAAAGTCACTAGCAGTTCATAAGTCCATAAGTTTAGCAGGCACTACTCGACGACCACTTTGAATTACCTTTATATCTTCTGTAATCTCGTTATCATAAGGCCCCAAGAGTTTCACCCAGGCATCCTGGATTTGATTCTCGGCATGGGAGCCATCTGATGTATCAGACTCGGTCCAACACTCAAACACTCGTTTAAAGAAGCATATCCAAGCTGCATGAAAGAAGCGTCGAACACTAGGCGAACTTTCATAGTACTACTGGGTGGCTTGATAACAGACCTATGAGGGAGATAATGACTGAGCTTAAACAGCTGCTCCATTGGAACAGTTTCTATGATGCCTTCGAATTTCCACTGTTGGAATACAGCATTGTAGGCTTTGAAGTTATTTTCGTTTAACAAACGTTTTGTTACCGTGCGAAGTTACGATTCAGCTACATCATACGTATCATAAAGAGCAGGATGACCAGCTAGCCATGGCAAAGCTACTTCATAATGTCCATCGTCACATATCCTTAAGGTTTTATTGAAATGGATCAAAGTTTCTTCTTCACGAAGGATCTTATTTTTACTTTCTACAGAATCTGTAATCCCTAAAACTTTTAAATTCCATATCTTAGGCAACTCAAAATTTTGAAGATTTAACGTGACCAAATTAACCACTTGTCTTTTCTTGCCTAGTCCTAAAATTGTCCAACCTAGTAAAGTCTCTACAGCTGAAACACCAGATGTAAGTACTTGAATTCTTCCAGTTAAAATGCTTTCAAGTACATCGGCTCATAGAACTCGTATAGGTGGGGTATCTTTTCCAACATCTGTCAGTTTTATCCGTCGTGAAGCAAGATCAACAAGCAATGTTTCATCTCGTATTCTGAGTAGCGTTGAACAAATTTTCTGTTGATCAAACAGAGACATTGAAGTAGAATACTTTCGATCTAAACTTTCAATAGTTACTGTATAACTATTATGTTCAGCAGCCGGAGAAATCCCTCCGCCAAACAGTCCTTGAGATAACACTTCCTTTCCGGAAGGAGGGAGATTTAACTCAGCAGCTAAGCTCTACTCAATATAGGAACGATGTGATCCATCATCCATTAATGCTTGAACACAGATTTCTTTGTCCTTATGCTGTAATCTGATCACGATTGTTTTCAAATATATTTTATATTCTGAAGAAAGATTTGTCAATAGAGTCTCTGTAGAATTTTGTTTTTTATCTGCTACTTTGTCCTTTGATGAGGAATTAAAATCTTTGCGTAAATCTGGGCAAAGTAACGCATAATGCCTTCGTTAACAAATCAAACATTTCACACTACTGTGACACCTTTTTGCCATATGACCAGGCTTAAGGCAAACATGGCAGCATCTTTTGCATATAACTTGAGATTTCCTCTCATCTAGAGTCATCTTAGAGCTTTCTTACAATGTCTACTAAAGTTGGATGATCACAAAAAATACATTTAGCCTTTTCCTGCATGGATGAAATAAGAGCTGAAGCAGAACAGATATCATTTCTTATAGTATCAACTTCCCTTTTTTTTTTAACCTTAACTTGAGTTCCAAAACCTTATCGAGCCAAATTTATCCTCTCTTCTGATTCGACTTCATGGCGTAAAAAAAGCACATCAGTTTTTCCAGGGATCTCTGACTTGTAGCTTCTGCTTCATCAATATTTTCTCAAATTCTACTCCTTTCCCACGCTCGCAGAACATTTTCTGGCAAAGATGACTCAACCAATGGCTCTAAAAAGTCAGCCAAATTTTCTTTTGTGTGCCCTAAACTTTCCAATGCTCTTAATTTGGTCTCTAGCATATTGTAGAGGGTGGCTAAATCAGGGGCATTCTTTCCGGCCATAGCATTTTTCAGAACCAGTGAAAGGAGATTGCGGACATATATTTGCACTAGGAGATCCACCCAGCCAAATCTTAATTTCAGCTGTTGGAAGGCCTTTGAATAATTTTCAGCGATTATTGGGAAACTGGATATTAATCTAGTAGCTCTCAAATCAGGCACCACAGACTGGTATAAATACTGGAATTTGTCTATAGCAATCAGTTCCTCTAAGGCATGTATTTTTTAAAAAATACTCTAAAATGTTAAAAATTCTTTGGGATTACCCAAAAACATTTTAAATTTAAACATAGGTAATTTTAATTTTACCACATCATGCTCTACAGGACTTTCCAAAAAAGATCCAGAATCCTTACTTAATAATGTTTCTATCTTTGATTATAATTATCAAGATAATTATCTCTATAACCCTTCCGCCACAAAATCGGCTTCCTATTCAGCAACAGCCTCAGTATTTTCTAAAAGTAATGACGAAATGTTATTCTGAATCTCATCTAAACGTAAAAAATTATTTTGTAACTCAGCGTTCAACGCGCTCAGCTTATCGCCATCCTTGGCATCTCCTTTCATCACCAAATATTGCTTCAACTTATTCACCGTAGACGTAAATGAAGCTCTTAACGACTTTCGTTTTATTTTCAGAGCATCCATATTTATATGTATGCTTAAAATAGTTACTTAAAATGATTTCTGATAAATTCTTAATTTCTATTTATACTGAAGAAATTAAAGTGTTTATACTTTCTTAAACTTAAACCACTTTTATCATCGTAAACAGCATATTGTATACTTATAAGAAGTAATTTAAATCATTCGTACCTGTACGCTTTCATAATTTCAAATTCTGAATTCTTAAAATGCAGAATACAAACTCTGTCTTGTCTTCAGACGACAATTTTGTTTTGATTCGAAATCAGACTTTGTTTTATATCCAATTTATTTCACTTTACGAACACATACAGATAAATGCGATTATTTACATGTTTAGT